TTTCCCCCCCCCCCCCTCTCTCAGGACGCTGCCCGACTGATCTGTACGTATACCTACCATCTCCACCACCACCGGAAGGATAACCGGAAGGATAACCGCCGCCACCCCCGCTAGGAGGATAAGAACCGCCGCCGCCCCCGCTAGGAGGATAAGAACCGCCGCCACCCCCGCTAGGAGGGTAATAACCGCCGCCACCCCCGCTAGGATAATAACCGCCTCCGCCTCCGCTTCCGCCACAAGTGGAACACTGACCACCTCCTCCTCCACCTCCGCCGCTAGGATAATATCCGCTCGGATACCCACCCCCGGATCCTCCTCCTCCTCCTCCTCCTCTCCCGCCGCACTTGTAGCAGGTGGCCCTCTTTTGACGGGACCCCGTCTCGTCGTACGGCTTCGAGGCCGACTCCACCATTCTCCGCGCCTCCTCCTCGGCCAATTTCAGCCTGAGCACCTTCGTCGTGCCGTTACGGTCGATCTTGTCGATCTTGTAGCCCTCGCTGTGCAGTCCGTCGGCAAATTCGTCGAGGTCGACGGGTAAGGACTCCTTCTCGTCCACCACCAGGAGAACAGTGGCGAACGGCTCTGCAAAGACGCATTTTTCACCTCGGCTTCGCTCCGCTGCCGCTTGCCATTCAACACGCGTCCGGCAGAATGAACAATTTATTCACCGTTTATTTGACAATCGTCGGAAGTTTTCCGCGCGCTGAGATTGCGTTATTCCTCTGGATTTGAAAGTATAATCCAATCTCAGCGCGGAGAAAAGCTTCCGACAGCTGCGAAATAGACGTCTCGCTGTGCGCGATTTTCACGAGATTTCTGCTTATTTTGCACTGTGTTAAACATCGGCGTGGATGTTAAATTTCACTCGCGATTAAGAGGGAAGATTGTGAAGAGAGAACAGAGTACCTCCTAGTGTACACCTTGCACTCACCCGTTATTTTCGGTACAAGCTCGGTGATTTCATTCTGGAACAATTCCTTCGACTCCAAATCCGCATTGCTGACGTTTTTCACAGCGTAGATATTAACAACGAAAACCGTGACATAACCTTCCTTGTCTTCCAGCGGCGGCGGCTGCAGGTCGGTCGGCAGTGTATGACCTTCGGGTCTCGTTGGCACTGATAATCGCGATAAAAAGGAAAAATTAAATTGATCATTACGTGAGAAAAATTAGAAGAGAGATTACGTCGACAGGCACGAAGGAGGAATCTTAAATTATTCGCGACCGGATTTATTCCAGCGTGCGCGTCCTCACGTCACCGTTATTTTCAAAGAGGCACGCGTTGTCGTCCGTTGCATGCCGAGTCGGTCGCCAAGTTTCCTCAAAATTTTTCTCTCGACTTTTCAACGTGACGTTTGAGATTCCGACGAGACGAACTACGAGTTGTTCGAGCAACGAAAATATTACGAATTTTAATGTTGCAACGAATCTATCGGCGAATTCGTGCAGGATAAATTCGATTAATCTGCTGAAGAATAATATGCAAGATACTTTTTCTATCTTCCTACGATGTTATACACACACTGATTGTTATTGATGTATTTCCGCCGTAGTGTTTCTCCTCGGGAATTGTCAATTGTTCGTAATCTAAATTTAAATCAAATGTTTGGCGCGTATAATTAAACAATCTTTCATAAGAACTGTTTTACATCGATGCGTTACATTTTAAATTATTATCAATTTATTTGCCTGACAATAGAATATAGAAATAGACTATAGTAGAGTTTCTCATTAAAATTCGAAATGCGGCTTAGAAGAAATTCAAAGTAAAAGTATAGGACGTCAACTTGAAGAAAGAAGCTAATATTTACGAGGAAACCAAACGTAACGCGTATGAAGGGAATTTTACGTAATATAATTACTACGATATCTTCTTTTCACGGAGGAGGAGGACATTCTACGGTGTCTTCTCGGTAATTTTCGCCACGAACAATCTGTCCACTCACCTGGAATAATATTCGGCAGCCCCGAGAGGGCCGTCACGAGTGAAAATATAAGCACTACGTTAAGAGCACGAACGGTCATCGTGAAGGCGTTCGGTGTTCCCAGGATGCACTGTATGCCGATCCTTTAATCTCGCCGCTTTTATAGTCATCGATTCGACGCGCGTGTGATCCTGATGTAATTATGTAACGCGGAGCCACCTCCACCGCTTCCCGCCGTTGCGCGCCGCGCCGCGGCGGACGCGGATTTTTGGATTTTCCGAGGGAATCCCCCTTACGATGAGCATGCGCGTTCGATGCTTTTTCGAGACCAAGATGCAATCGGAATAATGAGACCGGGATCAAGACAAACCCTAAGTAAGATCGCGAGCAAGAAGACGGCGGACCTCGCGACTCGATCGAACGCAGCGCGATATTTTCTCGCGCGAATATCTCGCGGCTTATCGGCGCTAATCATTCCCGCGTCGTGACGGATAACACCAAGGAAAACGTCCGTCAAGTTTCAAAATATAAGAAAGTTTCTGGTGATCGTAATGGTAATCGCGCGAAATCTCTTAAACGCGGTGTCTTCCTTCAAGAAGGTGCGAGAAGTTGCCTGATTATTGTTAATGACGTTGCAATTTTATTTTCGCGCGTTCTCGGTTGAAGTATCATTAGAATCTCGTGCTTGGAATGTGGCTGCCGAGAGGATACGAGAAACGTGTCCTACTGTAGTCCGGTCTCAACTACCGTAAATACGTTTCCATTTTCAAGGGGAAATACTGCGCGAGGGGGAAATAAATGTTCGACGCGATCGACGATTTTTACGAGTACGTCCACTTAAAAAGAGATCTTTATAGAGCTCCTTTACGTCGCGAGTACAGTACAGACGCGTTAATTACAACGAAATAGCCGGTATGAACAGCATGACGCTATGAAAGTCAACCTGAAAAATTGATGGCACCGTTAATTAACCACTTTTCGTTGCGCTCAAGGCGCTTTGGAGCACGAGAAAACGGCGACAGGGATAAGTATACGAAGGTGAAACGGCACTCCGGTCTGTTAAAGAGCTACTAAAATCTGTTAATAAACGCCTACCGAGAAATCACATCAACCGCTAATAAACTCCCTCCGAATGGCGTTATTACGCCTAATACGTGTATATTCCAGGCGCGTTCATCAGCTCGTCGCCGTTAATTAGTCTATAATAATTTTTAACTGTCCATCTCTCTCTCTTTCTCTCTCTCTGCTAAGGGATATTATATTATTTTTAATAAGAATAAGAACAAAGACAAGTGCAAGTACAGTCCATGACCATATCATTAGACACACTTTGATTCCTTAATAGAATACAGGTTAGGAGAAGAAGGGAAGCTAGTAATTTTATTTTTACTCGATTAGAATCATTTTCGGTGTCAAACAGCGTTTTCACCTCTGCAACCTTCCGAAGTCCCAAATCACTCGTTTCACCCATAATTTTTGCGAACAATATCAATATTTTTCACGCAAAAATTGATTTCTCTGTTAGTAAGCAAGGAGTCGGAAGTTTCGAGTCGCCGATAAACCAAAATAAAACTAAACCTCAATTGACACAAATCGCTCGAAACTCACGTCTGTTCTCATTATTATCAACGATGCAACTGACGCGGGTTCACACTTATTCAAGGTCATTGTAGCAGCCGAGTGAAATGACGATAAAAAATACCTTTTATAGAATAATAGTTCCTTAACATAATTCGATCGATAATTCGATAGACGAGCCGTATCATAAAGCTGGTCCTCGGGAGTCGATGAAATGTAAAAAATCAAGGTGCGTTTAATGATATGGCCGGGATTGTATATTGAGATGCGACACACAGTCGTCATCGGTAATCGTAACAGCTCGCCACGTCATGTGACTTTAATAATGGAATGATTCCCCGACACAAAGGCTATTACCGTGATTAAACAGTCTCGATGCATTAACATGGAGTAATGCTTTTCCAGGATTTCCCAACTCAAGCGCATGTGTCCTACGAGTAATCGGCGTGTATCGTCACTTTCAACACGGCCAGCTCCGTGTCTCTGAAAACATGACAGCGCGACCGTGGCCGCCATTTCCATGATTGATCTCGGGAATTTTGCGACGCTGTAATTTTGTATTCGACTTTTGATTTGGAAGCCATCGACGAAACTTCGAGATCAGCCAGCTTTCCGGCTTACATCATACACGTGACTTTCGTATTTCTTCGAGTACAACCTGTGCGCGTTCTATTTCAGTCCGACGTTGATTTTAATTACACACTTCAAAACTGTTAATTCCTGTGCTAGTTAAAACTGCGCCCGGGAGTTACGACCAAGTCACACACGTAGATTCAGCTAATATTTCTTGTTTGCCTCTCTAAGCTGAGATTAAATGTACATTGCATTCGCCGATCCTGTTATTGCGTGTCGGTATTACTTGTTCGTATAAATTTTCGCGTCTCCTCTCATCGATCATGAAAGTATCGTTTTGCTTAAAAAAGAAAAAAAAAGAGAAAAACATCGAAACGAGTTTCCGGGTGTGTTAACAGAATGCATGACGTAATAATATGCACAGGATGGTTGCAACAGTTTTTTCTCACATATTTCGGAACACGCAAAAAACATGAAGCGAACCTATGATTCACGAATATGCGCAGTAGATGGCCAGATACCTGTCGAAATTGCATATGTGTGTGTCAAAATTACGTATATTTAATATGTATACGTAATTTTGACATCTGTCTGACCATCTGCTGCGCATGTTCGTGAATCGTAGGTTCGCTTCGTTGTAATTTTTACATGTCCAAAAAGAAAAAAACTGTTGCAACTGACTGTATCTAACATTACGTTACATTTTCGGGATTTAACTTACACGACGTTACAATTAATTTCGTAAATTGTACAACGGACAGTTTAACTGACAGTAATAATTAACCGACGGATTTGCAATTCATTCATCATTGCGACCAAAGTAATCAGCATCGCTAAGTAACAGTTTCTGTTCGTGCATCGCAATAACGCCGCTTCTGTGCTATTTTTATCTCGTCTTCTCTCATTTCGTCACACGCGTGTAATGACTTGTCAATTAAATGTTCTCTTCGCTACAATGTTTCCTATTTACGTCACTGATAACGCGATGCGCGTCCACAGGCGGAAATAATTAGCATTACTGAGAAAATACAGAGAGAAAGAGGGAGGGTGGAGGAAGGCTTGCAGATTCGATTTTCTGGTCTGCAATTACGGCCCGTAATTACTTGCGGCTCGTTACTAGGAACATCTAGTGTACCGTATAACCGATTTATTTGAATTGTGCGTAACTAAAACCACATACGGGCTGTGGATAACGCGTCTTATCTTCTTGTTGACTACAAAGGAATGCCAAGTCCGTTTAACCTTGACTGATCGAGTGAGATCGCGCGAATGCAGAAATAATAATCACGAGGGAAGCGATGGTAAGCAATGGGAAGTAACAGAGAACTTGAAAATAAAAATAGATTTCATTTTGCCATTTACTAGAACAGAACACGGAGGAACATCGGTCGGTGCATTCGGTCATTGTGTTCGTTAGTTGGTTTATATGATACCAGCTCTGCATCCATTATTGTAGTCTTCATTGATAAACATCTACGGACGGATAATAGCCGCATAATTGGGGTATAGATAATGGGCGCAAATCGTGGAAGCAGATTTATTCCCCGAGAGAGAGAGAAAGAATTGGGGAATAACGTAATTCGCGTGTGCGCTCGTCCGCTTGTTCTCACGATTCGAACCGGTATCGGCGTTGCCGGTATATCTGCCTGATGAGCATACAAAAAAAGTCATAAAAGCCAGTAATTACTAATGGATGATACACTCGTGATTGTTCCGGCTGCTGCATGCATCTTTGTAAAAGGTTTCATCTGCAATGGAATTTTTAATACAGCGTGAGCTTCCATCGGCGGTATTGAGTGTCTTGTGCAATTTTCAAGATACGTTGTCTATCGGTGCCGTATTTTTAGTGGCGCATTAAGGAGGGTCCACTCATAAATTTCACACTTACCAAGCAACATTGAGCTTCTATACATTTATTTCGTTATCTAAATAATAATTTGTTACAAATATCTCAGTTCTCGTATGGTCGATCTTTTTCTAATTGCACGAGCAACGAATTAGATAATATTTCAATGCAGTGCAAGTTTCATCGAATTCTTATCAAAACTTATTTCACGTTGCCACCTTTAAGATGAAATGAGTTTTGTTTTAGAACTTTGACAAGCTGATATAGCTTAATTTAGATGCAATCGATGGAAATTTTAATTTGATTTCTGACGAATTTCATTTTATCGTAATTCTAAAGCTTTTATTTTATTTATACTGAAGTAACGTCGATTGTTAAGGTTCCTTAGCTCAAAAGTCCTTATTTAAAGCCGACATTTATATCAGCTCCGAATCCGAATACCTTTCGGGATTTTCGGAGACTACGCTTTCAGAGACGCCAGTTCGTCCACTTCTTTCTTCGCACACTCGAGTTATTAGTGTTCGCGGAATAACTGTCTCCGAATGCGGAAGTGGCCGGCCGGTGGCGACCGCACGAACGTTCCTGAGTGTGTGCATGTGCAATTATCTCCTACGGCTTAGGAAATTAACGCTACACGCCAGGACACCGCGGGGATTTTCTCGGCTATCAGTAACTTAGTCATGCGCGTTATTTATCGGCAACTCCGTGCGGATTAATTGATAGAAGACGGCACCGATTAGCGGTCGTTATATGTTCAGCCGGCCGTATTGCCGTGCTCGTCATTATGTCACTGTTATTAACCGGGGCCGTGTTATCAAGTAAAAATCGATCGATACGACGACGACCTCAACCTTACGCGCGGCAACCTCTCCCGTAGGCAACCGTTCGCCCATTCGTCGTTAATCGTACGAATCGCCGAACCCCGTGGATAATTTCCGACCGGTTCCACGATAATTGCTTTCGCCGTAGGTTTTTGCGAGTCAAACCGAGACGATCGGCGGGTGAGTCAGTGCCGAGACCTTGAATCACATCGGTGAACACGCATCCCGGGCTTCGAACGCCATAGATTCGGCTAGACTTTCACCGATGATTCCGATCTAGCCGTTCCGCGTGACCCGACGGGTTTGATTTCAGGAATTTTTTCTGCCATAGATAGAGAATGCGTCTATGCTGGAAAAAAAGTTCCGTCGTATTTAGCACACGTGTTCGTTTGATTCGGATTCGTTCGATAACAACGTAATTTAATATCAGTATCATTTTGTTCGAATGAAGATATTGTTGTTTCATTAACGCGAACCATGTTTGATAGGAGAACAGTATTAGTTGGAGGAATTAATATTTCCTTTTAAAAAAATTGTATCATACTATATATTAAATGTTGTTCCATACTGTGTGAAACAGAAAGAAGTTCTTTAACACGTCGAACGAAACGGCGCGTAATGAATTGATTGATCTTAAAATAAATAAATGTTACGTATACATTTTGATTAAAGAACGAGACGAACTTTTCGACCCAATAATTTCATATATTTCTTCTTTGTCGAATAAACATTTCGAGCCTTTGTATTCGCGTGTTCTGCGGCCGTGAAGGTGTATATAAGCGCGCGACATCTTCTCGGAAGTCGGATTCACGGAAAGACAGGTACTACTCCACCGAATCTGTCGATGATTAATTTCTGACATCGCTATTCTTTGATGACTTACGAATGAAATAAATAGCCAATTACCTTAGTTTAATCTATCAATGGTTATTTAAATCACAGTACTATTGTAATCGGCAGATTAGTCGAAAAATCAGCGACACGTGTTCTCCGTCATTATATAATGTTATCAGTATCATAATGATTCCGCAATATGAGAATTTTTATGAACACATTCGTTGACCAAAGTACTGTAATTTTAATAGGACCTTTTGCGGCATTGATTTAGTCACAAATGTGCCGCAAAATACGGATCATAGTTAGTTATTAGTTTGTTTTTACTTAGATATCAATTCGCCGGAGTCAGGCAGCGCGACAGCTTCTTGCGAAGCGCGGAATATCAATCACGATCTACATACCCGCATAATTTGCAAAATAACTTAAAAGATATCCGAGGGATATTCGGATAATATTGGAGGATGTTAACACCTCGATACCATCCGTTGATATTCTCATCGAAGGTAACCGGCAGCGTCAACAAGGCAGGCTTCCTGTTATTTCAGAGGCTGTACAGCCGTATTATGCAAGCTCTTCCAAAGATGTCGCGATGGGTTCAAGATCGCACTTCGACCTTCGCAATCCTTATTGACGCATTGACCGTCACCTACTCCGCGCAAATTCAAGTCTGGCAACGTGATAAGCGTGTAAACAAGAATTTATGACAATTGTCATGCTAATTACTATTTGCAAGTGAATGCCGAGTTCGAAAGTAAGTCAAGTTCGTTTTGTTTTCTTAAGTAAATGAATCCTGCGCTCGGCGAATAGTGATCCTGACATAAAAGTATTGACGTAGCCTCATTGTTCTTTGTATTAAAATGAAATGAGACGGGAGATTCCAAGGAACAACAATCCGCCCTTAAAATCGGTATTCCTTCCTGTCGTACGAAAATAATATTTTACAATGTTTCTCGCGCGCATTATCGCGATCGAATATGTTTTTCATGTGAAGGAAAGCCCCAGGACGTTATCTTCTTTTGACCCTTTTGATCCCGCATTAAGCAAGATTCATATTTCATTGCAACTTATCTTCTCGCGAATCAGTTTCTCGGAAGCGCGATGAAGCACGTAGGATTTTTAAGTAAGAGGAGAAATAATAAATTACATCACGAGCCTCGGTAATTGCTATCGTAGCTCAATTGGTGCTGTCATCTATATATAGTCGTTCCTACTACCGGATATTTCTTACGAGTCGGATTACGAAGAATAATACGAAATTGCTACTGAGCGCGGGACGAATTCAAAATTACGGAATCGAGTCTAAAGGGGTGTCTGAAAGCGCAAACCGTGCCAATCGTCACATATTTGTAGTTTTGGTCAACGCGAACGAATAGTCCTCTACATTTTGCGAACAACACGCAAAATTGCGAGTTATTAATGATTAAAAATGGCCGTATACAGAGGCTACTTTAATCAAGTCGAAATTTTGCGTGTTGTTTGTAAATATGTGCCCGGTAAACGAGGAATTGTTAACACAATGTTATTACGATGATGCTTTATAACATGTAACGTTTTCAAATGTGTAATTCTTAATGTTGTGTACAACGTTTCTGTTGACAATATTGGGCCGAAACGCGAAAAATAACGTTTCTGCGCCATAATTTTAATAATTAAAAATACAGTATATTGTCAAGTAACCGGTTTGAAAAGATTCATAAAATATCACGTGGAAATGTTCACAAAATCCGCATTAAATCAATGTTGTAAAAGATCGATTTAACGTTTCTTGGTTACCGGATGACGAACGGCTTGCGTCAGGCACCTTACATAAACAATACATCACAACCTTAACAAGCTATTGGTTTGATCCTTTTATTCATTCCATTTGGCGATGATAAATAAAAAAAAATCATTCTATCTACAGAGTCGTAACTTTTAATGTGAGTTGCATGCTTGAAAGAGACGCGACCGTCTCCCTTCATTAACGCGCCGTCGCCTTCATACGACATCGAGCAATTCTCCGACAGCCCGCGCGAGATCGGAAATAATATCGCTGTCGTTTTCCTGTTTAGAAAGCACTTCACCTCGAACGTGTCGCAACGGAATAGCCTGACTTCGCGCGCTCCCACCTTCGGGGAACCTCACGAAGGATCCCGCTTCGGACGACGCGATTCCGTGCCCATTTCCAGCGGGCTGAGCGTTGACCCGCACCACGGTGCTCCCACCTTGATACCCCGAGGCCGACGTACCTTCGGCGTGACCTTCGCCGAAGGAATCCCCAGAAACGTAACCGGAAGGTGCGCCGTTCGTTCGTCCGTCGACATTCCGATGCGAGAACGACGCGAAACTCGGAGCGTATCCCGAGATGTGCGCTCGACCGGGCGACGAGAACGCGTGGTCCAAAGGACTCGTGTCAATTTGAGAAGCTGAGTCACCGGCCGAATATCCGTGAGGCGAAGAGCTCACTTCGACGTGAAGGCTCGGCGATCCGTGAAATTGGCCGTCATTCCAAGACTCCCGCGGCCGAAATTCGGGACGTTTGATCGACAAACTCGGCCGGGGAAATACCCTCTGATTTGGTCGCCACTTGTGAATGTGAATCGTCGGCGTTTGTTGCCGATTGGACGTATCGTGGGCTTCGATGATCAACATCGGCCTTCTTTCATCGTGCGGTCTCGAGACGGTCAAGGTGGGTCGGCCGAAACGTCGGTCTGAAAAATCACAGTTTTAACCGTCGACCACAACGAAGGCTTCGATAATATCGATGCTGTTACATAAGCTGGAATCCAAAATGATGCATCGATTGATACACAAACACATAATATTATCGAAATTTATGTATATACTTGTATATATTTTTCACGTGCACTTTCAACTGCGCTTAAGCTCTGATCGGTCCTTCTCACCGCTAATACCGCGATCGATAAATTTACTTGCCATTGTACTCGTTGCTCGGACCAACATTGCTCCATGTCGGTCGATTTGGATATCGCACATTGATAGCGCCGGCTTGCGAAAAGGATTGTTCCTGACTAACGCCACTTACGGCAGAAGATTGCGAGGCACCGACGGAAGAAGCAGCGCTGGTAACAGCTCGTCCATTTTCAACCACTCCGAACGAAGTTGCAGCTGCCTCGCCGAAGCTGAGAGAGTGGCTTTCGGTTTTCGCATCGTTACCATTACTGTAAGCTTTCGCACCCGCGGTGGAGATCCCCGACAGTCCTGCCGCGACTGTCGTCGATTTGCTCACGGAAACCGGGGATCTGTAAAATAATCGTTCTCTGCCACACGTGCTCCTCTGAAACAAACACTCAGAAACGTCGGCTTCAACAGCCGAGACACTCGGGCAAAATAACACCGGAGCAAACTGAAATTACGCGTTTTCGTGCGATGAAAAATGAATAGGGAATATTATGCCGAATGCGCTCGACCATTCTGGCAAATTGGGACCGACGTCGCGCAAAACGTTATGTAAATATTAACGAGCGGAGATATCTCGTTTCGAAATGTTCACGTGTCCGCTCGAATCCGCCTGGCTTTCTCCCGCGCGAATATCAATTATAAATAGCGTTTACGTTCAAGTAAATATTTACTTAATCCGAATAAAACGAACTTAACTCTAATCCGGGTCTGTGGAAGCTAAACGCTAGATATAAGTGCGTAAAATTGTAATTTAAACGAAAACCGGATTATTCCTATTTCCTGCGGACTTGTACGGTTTCTTTTCCGAGGGTAAAAAAATTCGTTTAGTAAAATTCGTGTGTTCGGTGAAATTATTACTAAAGTAATATTATTTCTCAACCAATAACTTCATTTAACTTCGCTTTAAACATTATTGTTTCATTAAATATTATTGTTTAACGCATGATGTATTAAGCTCATTTAACTTTAGTCGAGCGCGCAATTATCTTCTTTATTGAAGGAAACAAATGTGACGGAACACATGTGAATTTTTCTACCTTCGGGAAAGAAATCGAGAGATTCGCGGAAAAATGAACAAGAAAGACAGATTCTTCCCCCGAGCTTTCAAAGCTACGCGTAAATTAATTCAGACGACATCCTCGTTACATTAATTCGCCATGTTAACTCACGCATTTATTACAGATCTAGAATTTGGCCTCTCATACGCCTAATTTCAAGACAAATTCGACTTAACGATCCAAGAGACTATGTGTTCCGAGTAAAATAATGATTCCACACGTTCCGAGTGAAATAATTACTCCGATGTTCCTTAACGAACATTCACTCGGCAAAATTCACAATTTAACCACCCTTTTCTCTCCAGTGTGGCATTTCGTACACACCCATCATTGCCGAAGCCCGCGGGGTGGTCGTAGCTGTTACTTTCCGAGAGACTGATACCATCGAGGCTCGCACCCAGGCTGACGGAGTGTGCATTGTTACGCCCCGCGTTCAAACCGATAGTCGCCGTGACAGGGATGAGGGAAAGGAGACGGGCCTGAGGTTCCCCATTGCTCGACATCTTGACGACCGACTCCGGCGTTAGTTCCGGCGGCGTGTTCCATCGTCGCTCGTGCTCGTTCCTGAAGTGCGCTCGCACATCGTCTGCACAATGAAGAGCGTTTGCTCAAGCATCTAGAAGCCCAGGAAGCGAAGGGAGGAACGGAGCTTCTCGTATTTCAGCAAATTGTTTCTGCAACTCGCGTCAGTTACTCGGGGAATGAGGGTGACTTTATTGAGGGGGGGCGCAGCGTCATTGCAAATCCCTAACTCGACGTCTCTTCTACGTACAGTCAGTGTCACCGGTGCGAGAGATGCATTAACTATGCAATTAATTTCACTATGCCGATTAATTTGTAGAATTCGACGTGCGAGTCGGTCTCGAAAGTACTGTAGAAAAATTACCATGAAAATTTGTAACGCTGGAATATATCGGAATTATTATCGAAACTACCGTATATGTTGTAATCTTTGGTGATGTATATCATCTACACGTCGTTAAAGATTGCAACGCACGATAGTAACGTCGATAAAATTTGTCGTGATTTTTATTACAATATTTTAACACCAAGCCCACAATTTCGACTCGGCCGGGTGCGTCACCGAATATTTGACCGTGTCAATTGATTCGGTAAAGTAAGAAGGCGAGCACGCGTTTGTACACGACGGGTAAATCGCGAGGATCTCTCGCTCGGTCGCACGCTTGAGTAAGCCTCTCGACGTCGATTGTAAACCAGCTTTAATAAACGCATCATGCTAGTCTCGTGCTTTTGCGCCGTGTAAATTCGCAATCGAATGGATACCGCTGACCGTCTCCGCAGACTATTCCCGCGATCCCGCGCATTACAATTCCGCCGGTTTTATGTTATTACCGCGCTCACAGCTACCGTGTTTTTCCAAGAGCGTAATGAAGATAAGCGAGGAATGTCGTTAGCACCGCAAAAGCTGCGGATGCTGTGCTGTTACTAGTATATAAATTTTGCTGCGCTTTAACAAAGGAACAACGAAGCAGCGTAATGCTTCAAGTCGTGTATATAATTTTACGATTGCAAATATATAAATGCGAAAAGAAGCAAACATCTGAATATATGTACATACGTATTAAATACATAAAAATATATAATGAAAATAATAATTGAATAATTGAATAATTGAATAATTGAAAATATGTATAAAAAATATATATATTACAATAACTATTTCCTTTTTACATGTCTTCTTATTTGTCCATGTCTGATATTGTTGATCGTAAAATTTGGTGAGTTAAACCTTAACGAAATAAACTGAGCGAAGATGCGACAGCGCGACGACTGTTGTTCGTTTTCGAAAAACTTGAAACTTGGTACTAACACCATCCACTACGACCGTCACGACCGCACACAACAGGTTGAAAAAGTACATCTCTGGCTGGCGACACTCGCGGCATAATACTCGGTGCATAAATTTTTCTCCTTGAGGTCGTCGATATCGCGACAGACAACACGCGACACGCAACACTTGTATTTTCAGCCTGCCAAAATATTTCTCTCACCTGCCTGCGCGAACGACAGCACGGATGCTAATAGGAGAACACTGCCGGCGCTCTTCGCCATGTCTGAAGATGTTCTGACTTGGCTATGCCCACTCTGTGCCCTTTTTGAATAACTACGTACGACCTTAGTGACGTTATTAACATGCGGGACGCGTTGGCCCACGTAATACTCCTCGGGAGAATCGTCGTGCGATGACGCAAACTACGAGAGTGAAATGCGATTCTCAATGACTATTCGACAGTCGATAACAGAAAGCCTCTATCGAATTTTTGCCGAGGAATAATTAATTAACAGTGTGTTTCGAGAAATCCTAGCGGGAAAAAAATATGCAACCTCTGAAATTTGTCCTGTGGAATTGTTAACATTGCATTTCATGTCGGTCTATCTAAGTTTTTCTAAGCATTTCGGACTATCTAAGTAAGAAACCATCGAGTAATTAACACGATCAAAGAGAGAGAGAGCGATTTATTTCATTGTTAATAATATGAATAATATTATTTTATCATACGTGATAATATTTCATTATAATAACACTGGTCAACAAGCTTCGTATCCTAAATTGTGTCCTTTTTGAATTTTAGTTTCTCCATTTATATTTATGAATTGTAATAGAAAATGACAATTAAAAAATGTTATTTAGCTGTAGTTCAAAAAATAGAGGCTTCATTTGAATTTTTGTAATTTAATAGTGCATGAGGCATAGTAATAATATAAAAATAAAAGAATATATTTTTATTATAATTTATATTTCTTATATTTCATATATTTCACACTACAAGAAAAACTAAAATTCTTCTCAAATATTATATTATTAGGCGTTTTTTAACGAACTCGAAATAAAGAATGCAACGAAAGAATAGGAGCTGTCTTGATTTTCCTACGGGAAATTAAAAGATATGTCTCATTCATAAATTCTTACAGAACTATTGTATACATCATCTCAAAGTAAAAAATTAACTGTAAAAGAAACGATTTTGAAGACATTCCTTTTTCACTACACCGTGAAAGTCTTAAATATCAAATTCCCTTGAGATTGTTGTTCATTACATGATGGCAAAATTAAAACCAAATTTTTATTCTAATTGTTAAATTTGCGATCAACATCACAAAAATTAACGAGAATTGACAGTTCAAATTCAGGATACAATTTTTACGTCGATCTACGTAATAATACTTATAACAACATTACTAATTATAGCATTCACTTAACATATTACAGCGTTAACAATTAAATTAACTTACTATACAACTCATCGGCTACTGGACCTTTAATACTACCGGAGCTTCAACTCGCAAGAGAGATTTCACATAAACTTATCCGACACAATGGACATTAATCATACTTTTACTACGAAGAGAAGAGCCGGCAGAGGTTTTTCCGTTTATGACATTCCTTGTGGATATATCGCTATTCTAATTCATCAATACGGTCGCATAAATCGCGAAAACTAATTACGCTAAAGCGCGCGATTGATCATTTATCTGTCGGCGATCTGCTCATTTGCGGTTTGTCAGCGATGCCTGCGCGTTCTGCGCGTTTATATACTGTTACCTGTGTGACTCACCATGCTCATTCATTAAACGTACATTATTCAGTATAATATTTCCGCGTTATACGGTAAGTAGCTCTAATAATCTCAACTGCTAAATCCCTCATCTCGCAATTTCTATTACGTTCGATACTTCGGCCATGCGTTAACGAGTTCGCTACACCGTGCTCGGTACGAAAATGTAATCCCCGACGTCGCTGAGATCAGAGGATCCTCGAATGTTACACGAACAATATCGTGCTCTCCAGTCATAAAGGTTCATTACAGGTGATGTCGCATGAATCGTAAATTTAGAAATCTGCACGATACACCTGCCGAATCAAATCCGAATAAAACATGGTTGAGCCTTTCTCGCTTTAATCGCACTGAGAGGAAGATTCCCTCAAATTCGCTCAATTTCATCGCATCCAAAGAAATTTCATCACTGGCATGCTCCGAGGGAACTAACGTTTCGATTGATAAGTACGATTGTTTGACATTTCAACGGAAATACGTATCTTTACCTTAAATAAAGGATTTGGTTGAAATGAAAGATAATTTTCTTACGAAGAGATTTCGTATATGTTGTTTCTGTGATAAAACAAATTTTCGTGAAATTAATAGAAATATGAAATCTGAAGGAATCTTTTCTCTGTGGGACCCGCGAATTTTGCGGCGCATGGTGGATCACGGAGATCCGGATGACACCGCGCGCGTTTGATTTTGGAGAACAATGAGCCGGCAGCGAGCGTTGTTCTCCGATTAATGCGCAGGATGTAATCACGCTGGGTATTTCCCAGACCCGATCGCGTCAGTCGATCGCACTTGAGGAAAAAAAAAGGGAATTCGCACAAGGCTGCAGACGATTGGAGGTGGAAAGTATTTTCGGCCGCACGGTTTGATCGAAAGTTTTCGCGTCGGAAGCACATTTCACGATCGGGTGACAAATACCGCTCGTTTAAGGTACGACGCAACGGTACCTTCTCGAGAGAAAGAGAGAGATGACGCGAACGGAGATGATCTCGGAGAAAAATCCCGAGTCGAAATTTTAATGCTACTCTGACGCTCTTAAAGATAGTTCGCGCCTACTTGGACGGCTTATAAACTAATGAAAACCTACTTTGACGATATTTACTTACTTTAACTTCTCTTTTGAATCTATAATTCTGCAGATTGAACTTAAACGCTATCTTCGTCATTCTATTTTAACGCTAAAACAACGAAAACGGATATTGAAGACGTCAACGGAATCAAAGTAGGGGTTATCATATTATTAGAAAGGAAATCGAATCTATTTTACTATCTAAGCTCCTACTACGTAGTAGAATTCAAGATTTAACAGAGGGCCAAAATTTCGGACGCTATCGAGCGGCCGTGAACTCGAGAAACTGGGAAAGGAGAGTCTCGCTCGAGAACGTCATTTGACATCTGCGCTTCTTCTTTTCGGCAGACGAAGGAACAAATTATGCACACACACACATACGCACACACTCGTCTCTGGATGGAAACGGTACGGTGAATCCACCGTGTCGCCGCAGAAATTTGGCGGTTGTCCGGTTACACGCCGTCGTCGCAACTGTGCAAACAAAAATACAAGTTTCTGGGCGAGGCGAATAATACGGCCGGTTAATTGACGTCGCTCGATAACCCCCCTTGCATTTCCGTCGCGCTCTCCGTCTTTCACCGGGAACGGGATATTTTTCTCGATTATTGAGAAAACACGCGTTAACCTGAGTCACGTCGCGCCATGACTAACGAGTAATAACACCGTGGGGCACAAAAGAGAGACGCGTTCGCGTTCGCACAGACATTTTATTCGCGCCGGGCGTGTAATTCGCTCGGATGACACGGTTCCGCGAATGCCACCGAGAAGGTACTAATTTGATAGCTGCCACCCGATAATCAATCGCGCGCAGTATTATCCTGATCGGACTGATTGGAAAATACGCGTCTGTGCGGCTGAGCATCGAGCTCCTCGTGACTCCTGGCCCGTAGAGGCCACGGAACGACGGGGTAATCGCGATTATCCCCGATCGATTATAAACAGGAGGCGTCTAGCAGGATGTGAAAACCGGTCGCGATCGTGTACCTACAGCAGGCCATTATTATTGATAAACAGTTACACGCAGATCGTCCACCGTCGTTGATAAGATTCGATGAAATATCGGCCGTCGAATGCGACAGCTGATAGTATCAGTCGGATGCACACGCGGCCGCGCATACGCATATTGAATGTCGGACGCGACGGGAGGAGGGGATTTCTTGTAATTAAAGCCGATGAAATAAACCGCGGAGGAAAGCGCATATTTTGTATCTTAAAAATGTATCGGGTTATAATTTCATTATTATATATAATATATAGTACCTTTTAACACGTTCACGGCCGATCACGCGATATCGCGTGACGCGAGTTCTCGCCGAACCGGCCGATCATCGGCGTTATCGCGTAATAGATATTTAGAGTACATAAATCCTATGTGCATAATAATAAAAGCGTATAAATAATATATTAACTTATTTTGAGCACAATAAAAATTAAATAAAAAAAAAAAGAAATTTGGCCACCACACGAAATTCCAATTTTCAGCTTGGCAATGAACGTGTTAAGCGCTGTAATAGTGTGATGGGTCTCTAGCGTATTGAGAATCGTTGCTCCTCTGTAGTCGCGCAGAAAAATATATTTCGCCGGCACGGTAAATTTTTCAGTTACTTCGCGGACGACAGAAAGATTTGTCACACGGACGAGATCATTTTACCGTTGCGATTCTAATTCCGTGCGGCTGAAGAGGAAACCATAATGTTTCAATATTGCGAGATCGTAGACGTAAAAAGATCTTGAAATTCGAAGTATTAGAAACTGGAAGAAAATAAAAGAAAATGAAATCTCCCATAAAATCTCGTTGATCAGGAAGCTAATTAGCTAAATTACGAAATAACGAGTAACGCAGAAATTAATCACGGAGAAGACGCGTGTCTCGCAGCATCCTTCAGTATAACAACGAGGCGGCCTTAAGCGCGCCGGGAAAATTATCCGCTCTTCTAATTACTCCGATTCCGCAAGTTAATAAAAACGTTAACTGGATTCTCGCGAATGCAAGCATTCCTTAAGGCTTCACGCAAATGACACCGATTGTGTAATTTTCAGCCTGGCCTTTCGTTCCGTACGAAAGAATCCTTCACGATCGCGTCGCGTATATCTTAGCATTACGAAACAAGATTCGTAGGAGAGAAAAAGTTTTCACGATCACTTTCGCGTCCCCGTTACGTCTTTGTCTTATCGCCGGGTTATCACAGCACGTATTCCGAGCTGGGATCCGCGTGTTCCCCAAATAAAAACAGCGAGAGACAAGAATTCGAGCAAGATCACGGCCAAGGTTCGAGCGATTCCTCTCAATTAAAAACGGCAGAGTTGATTGTAAACAAGGAAGATTGGAGCGTTCAGCGAATTCGGGGACGTGCAAGAATGTTAAATAAATCAGCCAGCTTATAATTCGATAACGTAGCAAGTTCTCGCGAACGCAATTACAAAGTACGAAAAAATCTTCTTCCTCTTAATTTTCAGGGATTAATCTTCGAACCTTGATGACTTCATTTATAAAACACAATCATCGCTGAGAAATCCACGAGGAATAAATGCGCAATTTCTTTGGCGGATCTTAAGTAACCCTACATTGAGAGAAACTATAGCTATTTTCGATGCCGAGCATAACCTTTTTTATAGTTTTACCTGCAATAATAATAGTAACAACACGCATGTAAAGTCATTATCATTAACACTATAGTAATATTTATTAGAAAATCGATTGTCTTGACTATAATCCCTTCATTACGTTCATTACAGTTGCAAATGTCAAATATTTTTCTCTCAGTGTGCACCGAAAAAAGGATTCGGTAATAAGTACTAAAATTTGATGAATATTCCCCGCCCAGGTGTTCGATTATTTACTTGATTACGATAAAATAATTTCATTATAATATATAAATATAGAAGTAAATTACTCGCAGCGATCGAGAATTTGGTCGGCAAATGTTCACGGAAAATTTTCGCGCTTATTACCGAATCCTTTTATCAGTGTATAAAGTCACACGTCGATTTGCGATCCAATCGCGGGAGCAACACCGACATCGGGAAATCACAGTGTTGGTGGATTTTCGCTCGAACGACGATCGCAATTGTACGAGGCGCAACGGACCGATGGATTTCCGCCGACGCGATGGATTTCCACCGACGTGTGCACATTTTTGGAGGCGCGCACATCCTGGACGATTACGCGCGCCGATGCTTATCGGCGACGTGACGCAAAATTTCTCCCGGAGTTTTCACGAACGGAGTATCGCCGGAGGACGGCCAGGAGGCAACGAGGAGCCGATACGAGCGAATGCTATATAAGATGATCGCGGCACAGGCTGAGTCAGTCATTCCCTCGCGCGAACTGCGACAACATCAGGATCATACGATTGTTTCACGCGCAAACACAGTGGTGATAACGCTAACAAGTAATAATTTATATAACTACACAAAGTATAATTATTACCCCGTTGAGTACCCTCTCTTCGACTGATCTCCCGTTGATCAATCAGAAAGATGGATATTAGGATCTTCGTGCTGCTTGTTTTCGTCGGTGTCCTAGGATCTCTCGCGGAGGCCCGAGCTGGCTTCGTTAGGTATCCTAGAAGTGAGTACTGGTCGAAGGAATCGATCCCTTTTCATTCACGCTCGATGTTGTTCACTAACGGCGAAAGTAAACCGCGAATCTCAGTGTCTCTCGGCATCAATCATCGATCCCAATGAAAATCTATCGCATCCCTCTCGACGTTAGATGTGGTAACACCTTTACATGAAGCCGGCATTATTTTTATGCCCGCGGATTATCCCCTTTCTTTTCACGAACGTCGATTTTATAATACGCGATTTTATAATACGCGATAAATTAACGCATTTCTTTTTCTTTTTTAATAAGAGAGAATGACGTGGAAATAAGAATTCACGAGATATGTTCGCGCCGTGGCGGATAAAATAAAATGGCTTCGCGACGACCCGTTCGTCTTCATTCCCGATCGCGTTGGCCGGGTGAAACTTGGTTATTTCGCGGCCGGATACACCGTGAAGGGCCGAACGGAACCTGCGAGAGCTGACTACGCGAGCTTGCTCGTACGTCGTGGGATTAACAAAAAGGATTTTAATCCGATGATAAGTTACGTAACGCCGAGCGTCGAGCGTTTAAATAGGAAATCGCTGACCGTGCGCGGGGATTTCAGGATAATTGCGGGATTAGCGAACGCGGCAAAATTCTACGGCGAATTCAATAATGCGCCGCGCACGTAAACGATTGCGTGATTTTTCATCGACGCCGCGCGAGAGGTCTGCCGACCAGACATCACCGACGTCGCGCTGCTTTTTTTTCCCCCCCGATCGTACCGACGAATCATTCGAAGGAACTGACGGCAACGCGAATTTAGGACGACGTGTTCCTTTTTGGATTCGTATTTTGATTCTTATTTTTATTCCTGCTTTTCACTTTTATTTTCCGTCGTTCTTCTCCGGCGCCGTCGTCGTCGTGAAAACGCGGGGAATCGGCGGTTGTGTCAGTGTTGTCAGTGTTGCGCGTCATTAAGTCACCTTCATTGCTAAAAGCGTGAGCGATATTAATCGCGAGATTACTGAGATTGATGCATCGTGCAAGCCAACCATGCGCTTCCTGTGATGCGACGCACACGCGCGCACACGCGTTAACACTCCGCACAAAAACAGCCGTTGACCAAACGGAGATAATTTAATGTAGCGCTCGTGAACCGTGACCCCGTTTCATTCCTCACCTTGACCCACGGGAAGATACTTTCTTTTCATTCATTTCCTTTCCTCGCATCGTCCCACGCGTCCCGAGCGCGAGTGTCTGTCGCGTTAACGATAAATTCGTGCGTGTGTGCACAATTTATCGTATATAAGTGCGTATGTTGATTTGATTATACGTATGTATCTATTTGAATCTGGATTTACAGAAACAGCACGATGGTGAAACGTGTTTCTTTTCCCGTCGGTGTAAAATAATCATATTCGCTCACGTGCTGCGTTTGCCGATGAATATAATGGCGGGATCGCCGTATTCCCGAAGGAGAGTATCGAAATTCAAAAAGTGGGACGACATGCTTCCGATATTTCGGGAAAATTGCATCTCGGACGATTGTCCGGATGTTCAGTTCTCGGAATTGTGATGGGACGTTGTCTCATTTTCCAAATTTCGGGATTTTGATTTTGCGGAATTGTGCGCGCCCGTCAATTATAATTCAAAATAGTCTCTTGGCAATAAGATAATTGGATAAGGGAAAGATAAGACACGAATGTTTTGCATTTATGTACATATAATACTTAGAAGTCAGTTTATCTGTCATACGTGCTTCCGGACGCAAACATATGTTATCGAAGGAGAGATATTATAAATACGTGGTTTATCGAATTAACGTGACCGCGGAGAACATCAACGCCACGCATACCGCATAACCAAACTATCATTAATTATTCATCAGCACGATGGTCGAAACCGAACGGAAACCGTTACGGTTTCTTATTTCCCATCCAAGTTCCCATCTCTTTTTTTCTTCTCGTCGGATCTGAGTTCCAGAACAGCGAGTTTTACTTCTACATATCTAATCTACGCCATAAGACGATTATGTACATAATTTCGGCGCTTAAGTGTTGCCAAATTGTACAACATCCGAACATTGTCTCCATAAGCCATTATTATTGACGTTACACCTTGTGATCAGTCATACTTCCGGCACGTGTCGCACGTACGTACGCGTGTCCCTGGTGATGGAATCTCGTGCCGGCCTAGACATCCCGAGACTAACGACGTTTCGAGCTACTAGCAGAGCATCCATCAACCATCATCTCCAAGCATCATCCCGATCTCGACAAGCGATAAAACAAAGTCGTTCTTCTGTTCTCGTTCTCTTATCGAAGATGGAGATGTACGCAGGGATGTACCGCCGGAATTCGCCGCGTCCAGGTCGAAACGGGAGGTCGGTGATTCGAACGGTGAGACCGCGAATTCGAGCGAGACTACCGTCAAACCCACCACTACCACCACCCCGGCGACCACGACGACCTCCTCGACCACAACAGATCCCACGACGACAGATCCCACGACGACAGATCCCACGACGACAGATCCCACGACAACGGGTCCCACGACAACGGATCCCACGACAACGGTACCTTCGACCACCCCGACCACCGAGCCGACCACCACCACCACCACCACCAGAACTACCACCACGACAACTACAGAAGCGACGACCCCCACGACAACGACCGCTACGCCGTCGACTACCACCCCAATGTCCACGACACCCGCCACCACCCCTACGACACCCACCACCGCGTCACCCACCACCGCCGGCACGACTCCCGAAAGCACCACGCCGACTCCGGATAGCACGAAACCGACGAAGAAACCGGCGAACGATATTGCGTCACGTTCGAATTTCGATGACCCCGAAGACTCTCCCATGAAACCTGGATCGTCGTCTAAGAACGATGCAGCGCCAAGTCCTGGACCATACTTTGGCCCAGGTGCCTTCGGCCCCTACTTTGGCCCTGGTTTTGGTTCAGGTTTCGATCCCTACTTTGGTTATCCTGAACCCAACTTTATCCCAGATTCCAGCCCGAACTATGGGTGGCCCAATAGCGGATCAGGAGTCGCGTCTGCCGGCGCGTCCGCTGGAAGTTACGCGGGAGGATATTCCGGAATGGGATATCCCTCGTCAGGATATCTCTCGTCAGGATATCCCTCGTCAGGATATCTCTCGGCAGGATATCCCTCGGCAGGATTCCCCACGTCAGGATTTCCCGCGGCGGGATCGTCGAGTGTCGTTAGTCGAGGAGGATTTCAGGATAATTCGCCGGATCAGACCGGATATAATCCTAACGCAATAGGTACGAAGCATGAGAGCCCCGACAGTCCGAGGACGAAGAGGGAACTTGAAGAGATTCCCCGGGGATAACGAATGCATCCTCCGGAGTTGCATGCTGTAGTTTGGTGTTCGTAACAAAAAAAAAAAAAAGCGAAAATTGGCAAAAGAACGGGACGAATCGGACATCGGAAGGGGACGTTCCACGTTTCCAAATTTACACGACGGAGTCTCCGCTAACGATGACGTTCACCTAGAATGATGCATGACATATATCTATTATTTTGCCGGGATAATTCGCCTCTTGTAAAGCGAATAATTTTGCGACACTAATTCTTCCCACGCACAATGCTCGTTTGATTTTTATTTATTTATTTACACGTGGCTCTTTGCGATATGTTCCTTTAATAATTCCTTTATTTTTTTATTTATTTAGGTACACTTACACGTACAGGCTTTCATTACGAGCCTAAATGATTCACGATTCCGAATGTAGTCGCATGTGTATGTTGCATGACCTTGACGGAGTGCGTCGTTACCCGTGCTTCATCGTGCGTTTCATTTTTCGCAGATCCATTGTACAACGCAGGATTCGCCTTTCCAGGACAATTCCCTGGCTTCAACGACCCTGCTTTCGATATGTTCAAGCAGATACAGGCGCAGATAGAGGCGCAGCATCAAGCGTAAGTCTTTCGATGTCTTCGATGTAAAAAAAAAAAAAGACAAAATCGTATGCTCCTAATCTCTTCGCTTCTGCGAGCGAGAGGAGTCCATTCTCTTTAATGCGTATTTGTGACATCATTACTCGTCGCACATATCGTTACATAAACGTGCTTTAACGCTCAACATCACGCAATCTTTAACAACCACATTTCGTGATTGCACTTCAAGACTCCGAGAGTCACCCAAACAGCACGAAACGTTCTGAGGTCATCCTGAATGTATATGTAACGTCTTAAGACACTCCGCAGGATATTCTGATTACAGTTGGGGTGATTCTAAAATATCTCGTGCTATCTGGATGACTTCTCTTAGCCACTTCTGTACTACCATATAATAAGTATATCAAGAATACTTCCGAATAACAGATTAATTCTAAACTCGAAATGCAAAATTTCTTCACTTCTTTTTTTTTTTGTAAGATTCCACTCTGTAGTAAAAGCCATCCGTCATTGACCATCGCAAAATGTTATATGTTATATTCACGTAACGCGCAAAACGCACTCGTGAGATACTTTCGTAACGATTTCCACTTATTCTTTTATTTGACGAAGTATTCAATTGTGCTTGAAGTATCGTACTTGACGCGATCCAACGTGCCCGTTTCACAACTTTTACATTGTGAGGATATTTCGTAAAGTCACGCATCACTCTGTGCTATCTCATTCTTTCGGTGATGGTTCTTCCTGCATACTTCAAGACTCGCCGATTCTATGGCTTCCCAACGGCACGCTTTTATGACAGATCAAGGGAGAAGGTCGAATAGACGTAACTACTCTTACTCTTACGTTTCGGGCAATACGGAAGACCTTGGACGTCGTCCGACGTTCGACGACTCGTTCTACCCAGGTGTTGGTGTTAGGTAATATGAAAAAAAAAACCACGATCGAACTTGAATCTCCCAAACATCACGTAATGTTGTGCTCGAGTAACCGGTGCCGGTTCCCTTCGGTCCGGATAAACTCGAGCGAGAGTTGCGATAAACCTCCTCGCGGGGAACACCTGCGATCGTGCGAGTTGCTTTGCTTCCCCGGCCAGCACAAATTTCCCGAGCACCCTGTACAAACGGGCTGAATATGAAATACGAGCATTTGTGTCACACAGTAATATGGAGTTCCACAATCGCTTGGCCAGCGAAGCCGCTAACTACGGAGGCACGCCGCAAGTCGCAAGTGCCAGTATCGGTTTAGGTCCGAAAGGTGGCTTCCAAGCGGGCCACATCAGTCCCGTAAGTCTTGCGTTTCTCGTTGGATTACAGAAAAAGAAACAAGCTTTCTCGAGAGGCCTCGCGTTCGCGTGGCGCGCGGCCAAGGTTTTACAAATTATTCGAATAAATAATAATGCGTCGATTGAATCTGATGCGAGTTCGATTGCCTCGTGAATAGGTGAACAGGTGAATGGTAGCACACCGAGGGGCAAAACATCTAAAAGATAAGAGATATTTTTACACCTCGGTGGAGATACACTAACGTATTTACTTACACATTAATATACATGTTTTTACTAAGGATTAATTTCTTACCAAATAGAAGAAGATAGACGTTTCCTTAAATCCGTAACTTTGCATGAAAACAACAACATCGTTCTCACTCGATTTAAGCGAGGTGAATTTAGATTTAAGTAAATCTGTCAATTAATACCCACCGAAGGAATATATATATTTTTTTTTCACTTTCCAGATACTTTTTTTTTCCTCTCTCGGTGCGCACGTAATTCGATCAGTACAGTCTTTATCGATCGGTTTGCAGGCTGCCCCTGGTATAGAGTCCAGATTTGCCGAAGATCTTCCTCCGCCGTCGGGCAACAGCTTCGGAGTGTTTGCCAGTTCCAGTTCCTCCAGCCACACCGGCCCGGACGGCAAGCAGGTCAACCACAAGTCGTCCGTCACCGGAGTCAACGACAACGGGAAGATTTCCTACCGCACGGTGCACGATTAATAAATTATCACGGCCTCGTTCGCAATTATTTTCGTAACCACGCTAATTTTCTGTGATCTGTCAAAATCCTGCCGTGAGGACGAGGAATTTTCCAAATTCAGAATTCCCGACGTTGACATTTGCGAACTAGTTAGTCCGGGCTCAATTATCTCCTCAAGATTACCACGTAAATACTCAAGTTTCTAAGAGAGAACCAATAGAGCCTCCCTGCAAAATTCCCATCGTGCTTTCTCATCGATACTTGACTTTCGCAAATACACACCCGTACGTGACGTCTACTTACGTCGACGATCAGACTCCGATTACCCTTAAGCGAGGAAGAATAACTTGTGATGTACATTAAGACGTTTCAATAAACCTTCTTGCGTCGACCTTACATTCCGTTCGACCGGAACGTCGACGTCTTGCAACTAATTACGCATTTAACTATCGTATTATATCTACTTGCTTGAACTATACAAATGTTATATTTACACTGTGTGTACACGTGAATTAAACTCGTGAGATACTTTTATAATGATTTTATTCACTGTTTTACTCGGTGAGGCAAGTTAAGCGTGTCCAACGTACCGTTCCGTGTGACCGCACGTCGTGAGGACATCACGATTTCCGCAGGATCACGAATCGGTGTCGTTGCTGGATTTGGTCTTGCTGAGCGGCGGCTCGATTTTATCGTCCATCGTGGCTCTTCCTCGCGACCAGATATCACGCCCGCGAAATCCGTCGCCGCGATCTCCGAAATTCTGGTAACCCCGATACGTCGGGGGTCGTTGGAAGTTCCGTCGATGCTGATACCACGGCTCGCCGTATCCCTGGTAATTCGATTGAATCTGGTCGCGAGGAGAAAATACTGTATTCTCCGGACGGTGACGCGTTGCGAAAAGAGCCGTTTTAATTACTCAGTGAATTCCCGCGCAATACGATCGTAGATAACGCAGTGCGTCGTAAAATCATCCTGGACACATCCCGGACAAATTTCCCAAGACCTTCCGATCGAGACGATTCTCGAACGTCTTTGTTTATTTATTTAGTCCCGTTAACTCAACTTTACACGATTTTATACGAAAGATAAAGAAAGCAGAAAGGCGCCGAATGCGGGAAAGTAATCAATGTGCAAAAGAAGAAATTGGAACTAACACATGAATAATATAAAAAGGAAAAGTGGAAGAACAAATTATAAGTTAAATTGTAAACCAATACATTCCGCAGTGATTATGTCAAAACGAGATCAGTCCCGAGTCGAAATTTTAATTCCTACTTTAAGCCTAACTTATTTCTAAATTAAGTATTTATTAATTCAAGGGTCTTCTATTGTATTCCTTTGGTGGTTACAAATGAGGAAGTTATTGCCGTTTTCTCCACTCGAGGACTTAACGTGGAACTGAAATTAAACTTCGGAGGACTAAATTTCCTCTGCAGCATTGAAGGAGCACTGATTGCGTTCCTTTGATGCTATAAGTAGGAACTTACTTCCGTTTTCTCTATTTGAAGGCTTAACGTAGAATGAAAAATTTCGACTCAGGATAGGAAGCTTAAATTCGGGCGAAGAATTGAAGGAGAAATCGCAACAGATTCGTCACCTGTGGAATATAATCGCGATGCAAGTGCAAATGCGGTAAGTTGGGCGCGTTCGTCGGATAAAAGATCGGTCGCTCGTTCGATTCCTTATTGGCGCCCCGGAAACCGACAACCACGGGCACTTCGTTGATCCGAACGTCCGGCTTTGCCCTCGTGACGATGCTGAGGCGCACTTCGGTCACGATGTTCCCCTTTCCGTCGGGCTTCGACGAAACGGACACGTTGCATACGCCGTGCTTGCAAGAGCTCACGCTTGGCAGGCTGTCGTTGCCGTTTACGACGATCCGAATATTATTGATAACCTTCGGCTGGCTGGACGGGTCGTCCTGCAAAAAACGAATCGATTCATCTCGTCGGATTATGCCTTCGGTGTGATGATATACGTCCTAATATCTATTGAGGCGTGCTCGATAAAACGGCCAAACAATGGTGATGAATTTACGTTTTGTGAAATTTACGACTCCACGGAGTTCCCTATAAATCTATAACGAGCCGGTTTACGAGCTCGTCCGTCAAATCGCGTGTAATCCGGCGTCGATTGATACGCGCTCGCGTGTCGTTATCGCCGTAATAAATCTTGTCATTTTCGCGTCAATAAAAATGTTTCGCGCGCTCGGGCCGGTGGTGACATTGATTAATTCATACCTGCCTCGAATGGACTCCATCTCGCTACAGTGGTGCGTTCAAATCACACCGTCTTCATTAAGCTCACGTCGCAAAACGAAAAATATGTATCTTCTAACGATAGCGCAGCAACATATCAGGCTTGTTATATTTTTCATGTACACGCAGGGAAAAATGTTTCTTTCGATTTTTAATATCTGTTTTTTTTTTTTTTTTTTTTTTACTAGAATTGGTTTCACAGAAGCGAAATATTATTCGTTCGAGTGCACATTTTATCGTCCCATTCAAGAAAACTCGATTGTTTAACAGAGAGAACGCTGTTGTTTGAAATAATCTTTTAACCGGATAAAATATTATTTGGTTACAATGAATATGTAAAATGAAACGAATCGTTTCTTTAGAACAAAAATTTCCGAGAGGAAATTTACGTTATAAAGCGATAAATTTACGTGATAAATTTACGTTACAGAGCAAAACGCTTGGAGAAAATTTTTTATTTAAGATAAAGATACATGTTCGTTGGAAAGTCTAACAAATCGTATTTATCGATCGAAAATTCGGAGCGTGCCGATGATGAGAGATCTGTTCGGATGCGAAGAAATCTCTCGGTGCATTTGTCAAGAAATTCGCTCGGATTATCGCGCCCCAAGCCTGATCTCATTGCGCATTCAATGGAAATGAGCTCGTAAGATCTCACGATTAAGCCCCGCGTGTTACTCACTCGTTCCGCATAAATCCTGCGTTTTCTCTGTTCTCTCGCTGGCTTCACCAGCTCGCCTTCACGACGCCAAGCGGCCGCCGGCTGTTTGATGAACGCACGCGAGACCGATGTGTACTCAGATTCGCTCGGATCCTCGTACGCATCGGAGGCCGTATTACTTAATGTATCTCGATTTTCGTCCGAATCTAAGTCCACCTTCGACGAGACCTCGAGGCCCGCGGCCGGATCCTCCAGCGCCGCGATCGCGAAACAAGCGACGAGAATCGTCCCCGCCGGCACCTTCATCGTTCGCTCGCGAATACACACGGGACACTGGATTTTTCATAAAAACGCTCTATCGCCGTGCAAGGTGTCTCAAGGAAGGGATAAACATACGAGAAGCGGATGTATATACAGTAATGACAATCATCGTCGTAGGAAATTGGAATGACCTCCGCGAATCCGACTCGCAAAGCGTAACAGAGACGAACCGGGAGGGAAGGGAATATTCTTCAAAGGACTCGGGCAGGTGGCTCTAATTGCTTCCTGAGATCGATATCTCTCGCGAGATTCGTAAGCAAACGGCCCGTGGCTAAAATAAACGGGAGACGCGACGAAATAAAATCGCGTGGAAAAAAGAATCGTTAATCCACGGAACACGGGGAATTCGGGGCCGCTCGCGGTGCCAGACAAGTTTTTCTGCGAACAGCGAATTGTTAATATAGCGACGGCAAAAAGATTTGTTACCACGGAAAAGGAATAATCGTGCCGTCGTAGCGAAACGCCGTCGCGACAGCGAGAGAATTTATTCGACGTGACCAAATTATTTTGCCGTCCGCACATCCAGCGGATTAGCGATCGATTACTTTTTCAACAGATCTTTCCGCTGTCCGAACACATTTTTTTCGCCGTCGCTGTATTAACAAACCGATTCGCTGTTTTAGCGAAATCTTTTTTCCTCGTGTCAAGAGCAACGAGTACAAGTCGAAATCCGCGAATCGTGTCGGAGATCGTCGTCGAGGCCCGCTTTTTAGCAGCACGTGCGTTTACAAGAACGTGAATCGTGAATCACGTGCGAACGTTACTTCCTGAAGGGCAGAGTGCACTTACTTACGAGCCGGACTAGGCTTCCCTGTAATAATGGCCCGCTGTGAATGGCTGGAAACGACGGGGGGAGGAGGATACAATGAATGCTCATGAATGACATTATCTCGCGCCTCTTACGATGCGCCACAAGTGCGCTCTCTAAAATGCCCACCCCGTTATGGGCCCGTCGCAGCCGGCAGTACGTTGGCGCTAAGGCAATTCCGGCGTCCTGTCACCCTCGGCAGGTTCGACTGTGAATCTCGGCACGCAAACGAAGGGTGCGCGCAGGCCTCATTGGAATTCATTAAAATTTTAGTCGCCCTTCTCCTTTTTCCTTCAGCTGTGCAAATCAGTAACGATTCTTCTTCTCGCTCTTCCCTTCATCGTCTTCATTTGGGGCGGAGGGGAAAGGGAGAAAGAGAGAATGAAAGAGAGAAACCGAGTTGTATTGAATCTTGCAGGATAGTACATGAACTTCGTCCGCTACGTGCACAGTGATTGGAACTGAAGTGGCAGTTTCTGCTTGCAAGCGCGTTCGACTGTGCGTTTCGTTTGGTTTCCCGTTGCGCTGAAATTCTTTTCTTACAGGCATCATAAATACGTCAGTTTTGGGGCGCGATTTCTAGGAGCGTAAATCCTCAAGAAACATCTTGAGAAGAGTTGTTTGCAAGAAAATGGGTAATAATTTTCACGAAACTGCCGTATATTTCGGAGAGTACTTCTGCATGTTTCCTGAAGTTATATATAT